AGGCGTCAAGCCGGAAAGGAGGTTGGTTTCTAGGGAAGTTGGGTCCCCGAACCCCAAACCCCCTCCCCGCTCCCCAGCTTCCACCCTGGAATTGTTACCCAGCATCATGGGAGCCCTTCCATCCTTACCGCCGCGGGGAGGATGCTGTGTGTGCAGCCTGGAAAGGAGACGCGAGGAACAGACGGGCTCTTCGCTGACCGTGTGGTCAGCTCCGGGGTAAAGCAGCAGCACCCAGCTCACGAACGCCCTCTCCTCCCGCGTCTGCATCGGATGCAACCTCGGCACCGTGTGCGCGTCTACAAGTAACAAGTGCATTTTGTAGCGCTAATAGAAATGGGCGATGACGGCTTTCGTTGCTCTCGAGTAACGTGAAGTCTCTTGTCTTCTCGATTTTCTGCTTGATCATACCAGTCGTACATTTCCCATCAGAAACCGTGGGCCCGAAGAAGTATGCTTGAGCTAGGGGCAGAACCGAGATCAGCTGGTAAACAAAATCAGCTGCACGACTTTTGCAAAACGCCAGGCAGTGGCTTTGAAAGAGAAGGCGGAATGCTGAAAAGTCGTGATGAGTCCCTAGATCAGCGGTTCTCAACCTGTGGGTCGCCAACCTGTGGGTCGCGACCCCTTTGGGGGTCGAAGGGGGCGCCTAAGACCATCGGAAAACACATATATAATTACATATTGTTTTTGTGATTAATCACTATGCTTTAATTATCTTCAATTTGTAACAATGAAAATACATCCTGCATATCAGGTATTTACATTACGATTCATAACAGTAGCAAAATTACAGTTATGAAATAGCAACGAAAATAATTTTATGGTTGGGGATCACCACAACATGAGGAACTGTATTAAAGGGTCGCGGCATTAGGAAGGTTGAGAACCACTGCCCTAGATGGATGTTTCTAAACATTCAAGTGCACCTTTTCTTTTGTCAGGAGATGAAAAACCAGACTCTAAAGACTTAACATTTCTATTTGAATGTATGGTGCCTGTTTTTTTTCTGTACTTACCTTTCCAAATTATAGTCTTCTGGCAAAATTTCAACAGATACCAGCATCAGTTGTGATCATAAAAAGTAATACCAGATTGCAATGTGTAAAATGTATAGAATCTATCATTTGAATACAAGGAACTGAACTGTAAAATAATTGCTCTGGAAGTGAACTCTGAAACCCTATGGCTTAGAAAAAAAGTTTTATTATGGAATGAGTCATTACATTTATTATCCTGATCCTTTCATTTTTACTATACTCTTTCCTTGAAACAAAGTTTTATTATGGTATGAGACAGTACATTTGTCCTGACCCTTTCATCTTTACATACTCTTTCCTCCTAACTCTATGCGTATGTGTGTATTACACTGTTCCCTTAACATACAGTGGCTGTCGTATTTGACAGATTTAGGTTAAGGAACAAATTTTTAATGAATTCACAATTAAGAAGTGCATCCTAAGTTTATATCACGTTCAGGTATGATGGCATAGGCAGAAACTTAACAGAAGGCCAGGTTAAGACCTGGGCTGAATAAATACTGGTTTGAACGTGTAGGCATAGGGATTGCAAGGACCAGCTGGTGCTCTGGAATTTTCTGGTTTAGTATCTGGGGCTAATTGGGTTGCTTCAGGTGGTTGTACAGTTGGTTACACATGGTTTTTGAGACAGCTGCAGGAAAAGATTTCCCGTTACATAAAGGGCAAAGGAAGGGTATGTTCAGCAGTGTTGATAGAACTGAGCATTTCGATGTGAGTCTTGTTGGCGGCAGAAAGCTGGGTGAATACTAAGTCGGCAAGATAAAAAGTCAAGGCTCTTTGGGATTTAACTTGAGAGTACACCAATTTTTGATAAGGAGATTACTGCAGGTAGAATTATTCCTATTTCTGGTTCATGGGTAATATTTTAGCACTTTATATTAAGAAGAGCTTTGAGCCCTAACCTGTTTGGCTCAGTGGATAGAGTGTCGGCCTGGGGACCGAAGGGTCGGGTTCGATTTTGGTCAAGGGCACATGCCTGGCTTGCGGGCTCCATCCCTAGTAAAGGGTGAGCAGGAGGCAGCCAATCAATGATTCTCTTTTCATTGCTGTTTCTGTCTCTCTCTCTCTCCCTCCCTCCCTCCCTCTCCTTTCCTCTCTGAAACCAATAAAAATATATTTTTTTTTTAAAAAGGAAGAGCTCTGAGAGGGCATATTCTGGATGATTGCATTTCAATTAATATGGTAATTCTTATTTTAAGAGCTTAATTTCAGAGTGGCAAAAATGTTAACTCTGAAGATTTTTAGTGCATCTGTTTAAGCTTACAGTTCCTTAACAAATTTATCTTGTCGCCTTATACAGCTTTTTGGCTTTATAGGAGCCTCCGAGATGTTTTTCTAATGTAAATTTTCCTTTTTTTAAAGTAAAAAGTTAAATTAACACATTTCTCCTTTGGCCTGTGAGAAATTTCTTTTCTTTGAAATGCTATCAGAAGATGACCTCTGACTCTCCTGAAAAAAACCCTTTTATTTTTCAGTGTTCAGGAAAGCTTTTTTTAAAGGATCTGAATGCCTTCTCAGCTTTGCTGGCATTCGGGTGTAAGCATTAATGATGCAAAGGAAGAGAAAACGTGTACCTCTTCTCACAGCACTGTATAGTAGAAGGACTAAGTGTGAATAAATACTAAATGGATATTTTCATTGTTCCCATTTTTCTTTATAAGAGATGTGTAACACACCAACTTACTGTGACCTAGGAAAGGCTGCCAAGGATGTCTTCAACAAAGGATATGGTAAGTATGCTATTGTAAATTTCCAATGTGGGGTAAATGTTAGTACTAAATGCTGATACCATGCTGGTAAAATGAGGTTAATCAACATTAATGTGTCTCACAAGATTTAAGGGGATAACTATTAACAGGTTATTAGACTTCATTCTTTCGAGGAATCACACAAGTTTTAAAAACAATTGTTTAAAAATAAGACCAGCCCTAGCCGGTTTGGTTCAGTGGATAGAGCATTGGCCTGTGGACTGAAGGGTCCCAGGTTCAATTCTGGTCAAGAGCACATACCTCGATTGCAGGCTTCTCCCCGGCCCAGGTCCTGGTCGGGGCACGTGCAGGAGGCAACCAATCGATGTGTTTCTCTCACATCAGTATTTCTCTGTCTTTCCCTGTCTCTTCCATTCTCCCTAAAAATCAATGGGAAAATATCCTCAGGTGAGGATTAACAAAACAAACAAAATAAGACCAAATAATATAAATCTGTAATATGTATGCTTTCTGTGGCTACAATTAAAGCAGGGGATACATTTTTCCTTCTCTAAATAATGGCAGTGTTTTTGTAAGAGTGAAGACCCAACTTTTAACGTCTTCGGAGTAACATATATTCTTTGATCCAATAGACATTTATTTTTAGTTTTTAAAGTTTAGTCTTTAAACTTTTAATTTTTTGTGCTGTACACATTTGATTTTTTTATTAACTAGTAATGTTAATTACATATATTTTAAGCTTGTATATATATCTGCATAGTATTTTCTAATAATTTTAGTTCTCAGAATAGTACATATTTCATTCACTTATTTGTTCTTTAACTTAATAGTTTTAAAATACGTCTTCATTATTTTGAGGGGTTTAAAAATTATGCTTAAGCTAGTTCATTATAATTGTTTCTTATGGAAGTCTCACCTAACGAGAATACTGTGTATTTTCCAAATGGAAGGGACTATGGACTATTTCCATAATTTCTGAGTTACAAAAACTGGAGTGAATGTTACATTTTGTACATTACTGTATTTTTGTGTGTGTCTAGGGTTTGGCATGGTCAAAATAGATCTGAGAACCAAGTCATGTAGTGGAGTGGTAAGTACCTAATATATTTTCAATAAATGTATCCTCATGAACTGAAAGGAACCAGTTTCAAAATCAGTGTTCAGTCTGGTTATGTGAAGCAGCATACTTTTGGCTCTCTGCTCTCTTCCCGACAGTTTTCTTCCACTCTCAGATTTCAGTGAGAATCCTCACTCAGCCACGTAAGCCCAGAAATAGTCAGGTTGAATTTTGTTTTTGTCATAACTAGACTATTCTTAAGTCTTACTCTCAGAAGGTGTAGTGTGTGTGTATATATATATTTGACCCATGCCATATTGTTATGAATCTTCATGAGTATGAGCACTGAAAACTTTCCTTTCATTGTATTGGGTTCATATAAGTTTTATCATCCTTTTATAAGAATAAATTAATTTTAGCCTCTGCTTCTTCATGATTAATTGAAGCAAATGTAGAAATAAAATGCACATAGAAATTAGTTTATAGTTTTTATTGATGATCATAGAGTCTTTTTTACTGGAAGTTAAGAATATAGTAAAAGATATATATGTGCATATTTTCAAAGCATCATTAACCAGAGCTTTATTAAGTCTTAGCAACTAGATTACCTTTACATTCACCTCATTCTCTGATTTCTCCTAATTGGCCTCATCTTTTTTGGTATTACCTATTCAAACAGATGCAAAGTTTATTTCTAGGTATAATGATTTAATTAGAAGGGAAGAGGTATGTGGAATTCTTATGATGCTTTGTCTCAGACTCTGTATAAACCTGGTTTGTCACTGTCATTCTTTCCCTGGATTTTCTAGTGGTGAGTAAATATATATGCAACTACACTATTAGGATGGGCACATTGTATATGGTTCTGTTAAAATAGAAATATAATACTCATTCAGAATTTGCTCAAGTTAGGTTTATGTTGCAAAAACCATCAACTAAAAATGTTATCTCCCTTTCATGCTGCTGTGGTGTGGGAATATTCATTCAGATGGTAAGAAAAACAGCATACGTGTGCTTATTTTTATGGTTGCTTTTGGTCTCTGGTACTGATTCATGATAAATTATATCCATTGCTCCAAATTTCTTAGATTGCATCTTGATATTTTTATCATGTGCCCTTTATTTAACAGTAACATTTTAAGATTATTTTGTTGCTTTCTAGCATTTAATGTAGAGCTATGTGCATGTTATAAATGTGTTTTGCACTGTTTGAGCTAATTATGAAATTAGACTAAAACACGCTATTATGAGCTTGGAACTGAACTTAGAAAAATACTAGCCTTTCTTCTCTTTGAAATTCGTAACTGGTATTTTAGACTTGACAAAACTTTAAGAAATGATAAA